CCCTCCTTAAGGGCCCTGAGCTCTCCAACCAGCTCAGCCCCTCTTTCTGCACCAACGGCCCTCCCAGTCCCTGCTGGTCATGGAAGGAATGCCTGGGAGCAGGAAGTTTGAAACTGAACTGCCTGGGTTCAAAGCCCTGTCCTATTTCCAGCTGTGTGATCTTGGGTATAAAAATTCCATAGTCTGAACCCCAGTCTCTTCAACAAACAGAGTTGGTTTTAAGACAGATTAATGGGCTAATGTGACTTCACAGGTGGTGCTAGCGGTAAAGAACCTGCCTGCCAATGCAGGAGACAGAAGGAAAGGAGGCAGGTTCAATCCCTGGGTCGTGAAGATCCTCTGGAGAAGGGCATGGCAACCCACTCCAGCATTCTTGCCTGGAGAATCCCATGGACAGAGGAGCCTGGTGGGCCACAGTCATGGGGTCACAGAGAGCCAGACACGACTGAAGTGACTCAGCACGCACAGTAAGCTAAAACAGGTAAATCAGTTAGAATAAGGCCTGGCACATGGTGAGTGCTCAGTAAATATTAGATTCTGTCTGTTTGTGTTTTGCTTGGCTGCAACACAGCTTGTAGATCTGAGTTTCCTAGCCAGAGATCAAATTCATCCCTTTAGTATTAAGACCACGGAGTGCTAACCACTGAACCACAAGAGAATTCCCAATATTAGTTGTTCTTATTTAGGGTTCAAACAAGGTTACTCCAGAATCCCCCTTCATGTACCAGCATCTCTGCCCCACCCCACACCTTGTCTAGGCAGCTGCACTGTCTTGGCTTCTGACATAAGGCAGAAGATGGGGAAGAAAGCAGGAAGGTCTAAGAGCAAGGATCCCCACCCCAGACCAACTCAGGAATCCCTGGGCTGAGCACAAGGGCATCCGAGAGAGCAAGAAGGTGCTCGAGTCTGGTAGAAACGCTATAAAGGTGCGGGAACCTGAGGCAAGCAGGACGTGCCTGCCGCTGTCCAAGTGCCTGCATGACGCAGAAAAAGTGCAGAGGAGATGTCTGCCTGGGGGCCCACAGAGGGTCTGAGCTTGCTGTCTGTCAGGCCCTCACGTCTCAGAAGGAGAATGTCCCCCACACAGAGGCAGGGAGAGGAACCCGGGGGACAGGCCCTGATTAAATGCGTCAGGAGCAAACAATCACGCAAGACCAAGAGAATCCCAAGGAGGGAAAGAGGCAGGCGGGAGTAGAGAGCCTGAGCCACAGAGATTAGGTTTCTGTCCCTGGTCAGAATGGAATATGGAAATAGAAATTAAGCTCAGGTTTAGAGCAGCAAAGACGGCTGCATTTTTTTGCACATTGCAGTCAGTAGACGTGCAGCTGGGAGCACAGTGTTATTGGCTTCCCCTGCTACAGTAACACAGCCTGGACAGGTTTGTGTTTCTTTACTGAACGGTCCACACCACTTCAGGATGGATTCCCAGAAGTAAAATTGGTGGGAGTCAAAGGCTACCAACTGCTCGAGGCTCTTAACACAATCTAGACGCTCTCTTTCCCAGAAAGCTCAGACCAACCAGGGAGAAACAGCCTGCCTCACTCCACACGCACCAGCACCAAGGATCATTATTTTGTCCACCTTTGCCAATGTGTTGAGCCAAAAAATTAGAGTCTGGCTGTTTCTATTTGCATTCTTCAGTTGCTAGAGTGAGGTGCGACTGTGGGTTTTAGGAAAGTGGGAAGTGTTAGGAAAACAAAACCCCTGTTAGGCATGGGTGTGTGCACAGAATTTTTTATGTAAGACGCCCACAGCGGTGAGTCGGCTCTCCTCTCCTGGAAAGGCTCCCTCCCCCATCAGAGAGCACATGCAGGTGCGTGGCAGCTCTGACCCTCACTTTTCTCACCTATTAAATGGGTAGAATACCTTTCTGGTCAGAAAAAAGCTATGGGTGTTTATCTGTGGTTTACCATCCTCTTCCTTCTTCCTCTCATCGCCCTAAATTTCCTGGCCGTGTGGATTGTCCGCAGGAGGGCTTGACTGGCCACAGTGACTGGTACAAGAATCGGCACATAACTCACGGCTAGCTAACCACAGGCCAAATTCTGGGACCTGGGCTGAACTATTGAGTGGCTTGGACTCTTGTTTACTCGCAGACATGAAGGGGGAATGGGCTGGTGACCATCCTAGAGCAGGAGGGACAGACCTGCTGAAAACGATGCAATGCTGAGGAATCAGAGCCGAGAAGTGAAGACGGGGAAAATGCACTGGTAACCTTGTGCATCCTAAATGAGGTCCGGGAGCCAGGGCAAACCCTGCCTGGAGCAGTCAGTCCTGCCTCTTTTTCAGTTTTGTAAGCCAGTGAATTCCCGTTATTATTTAAGCTATTTTGAGCTGGGTTTTCTGTGCCTGGCAGCTCAAGGGACAGCGCAGGGCCCCGGCTGGTCTGACACATGGAGGGCACTCAGGAGACCACGGCCTGTGGACAAAGGCCAAGAACAGAGTCTCTGCTGTGTGACCCTGAAAGCAAGTGGCCACACCTCTCTGGGGATACTTCGTGGGCTTTTATGAGAAGTTTGATAAAATCCACGCAAAGCACTTTACAGCTCTCCGGTCAGTTCAACAGATGGTCATCATTTGCTAACAGCATTGCTGTCTCAGAAACGGTCATCACTGTTGATGCCTATCTCCCAGGCCTGACAGTGAGCTCCTTGGCAGCGGGGCTGTTTGCGTGGCTTTGTGCGTCCACTGCAACAACCCAGACCATCACCGAATGGTTGGTTGGTGTCGCATTTTACCTACTTGAGCCCGACGGCAAGTTCCCTGCAGGCAGGGGCCAGGACTCACCCCGGCACCCTGCCGAGGGTGGCAAAGAGGGCCTTGTGCCCGAGCCCATCCTCAAGGCACAAGCGAGCCCTACGGCCTGCCGTGTCTAAGGCTCACAGCACCGGGAGGCCGTCAGCATTCCCCGCTTCGGCAGGCGAGGAAACCCAGGGCTGCCACGGTGACGGGGGCGGGCGTAGGCGGGAGGTGGAGGCCCGGGGCCGCAGGAAAGCAGCATTTGAGCTCGGATCTGTGCACCACCCGGGCCGCGCTCCCGGCGAGAGTCTCGGAGTTGGTGTCTGTGATGCTGACAGGCCTCCGTGAGCCTGGGACTCACCCCAATGGTGAAGAGATGAAGGCGGCCCAGAGCAGACTGGACTGTGGGCTTAGAGGCAAGTGCTAACATTCATTAGTATTGCTGCACTGTTATTACGGATTTACATATATACATAAAATCCTAGACGGTTGCTGCAGCTTAAGAAAAACGGTGGGGCTAGGGGAGAGCAAAGGGCCCGGAGGACTGGTGGGGGGGCCTCGGGGGTGAGCACCGTGATCCTGGGCCCTCACTGCCGCCCCTCAAGGCAGCTCATTCAGACCACCTACCCTCGTGCAGACGGAATGCATGGAGGGGGCAGCGGCTGACGGCCTGAGAAGGCCTGGAAGGACCTGGAAAGTTCCAGAAAAGAAACAGAAGTGGGAGGTCAGGGAGACTCCCTCCCCCTCAGACACAGGAATTAAGGATCGCAACAGCCCTGGCGATGGAACCTGAACTCTGAAGAAACACAGGCTCGTGGAGGCGGGCTCAGCGGCTCACCACCAGCCCAGAGCTGGGCTGGGAGTTTGGTGGACTGGCAGCCAGGGCTCTTCCCAGGGCCAGGAGCCTCCCTCTCGGGTCAGAACCAAGAGACACAGGCGGGCGGAGGGCCTGCTTCCCTCCCCATCACGGGCCTTGCCCAGGGCTGCCTGCACCAAACTGATGAGTGTTTGGCTCTCACATCTGTCTCTCGGACCTGAGACAGGAAGTCCCGACCCCCTACAGGCCTGAGAGGCTTAGGGTACCCACTGTGCAGATGAGGGCACTGAGGCTCTCAGACGGCCACAGCAGGGTCACCGACTGCAGGAGGCTGTGGAGGTGTTGGAAGCCACCGTGTCCCCATCCCCAGTCCTTCATGGGTGACCCCAGACCCTGCGCTTCCACAGCCAAAGGGAGGCAACAGGCGCCTCCCTGCAGGACTTCAGTGTCTACAGGAGGGGCCGGAGCTTCTCAGGTCTCAGGCAACACAGAGGCCGGATGCTGTCCTCCGAGTCTGATGGAGGCAGAGGCGACAGGTTATAAGCAGCTTGGGTCAATAGGGGCACACCTCCGCAGCCCCCAGCGCCTCTGGACGCTCGCTTTCTGCTCCTTCCTCTGCCGAGGCACGATGCTCCCCTCTGCTCCTCCCCGCCCTGCGCCCGGAGGCCCCTCTGAGCCTCGGTCTTCCCCTCTGAAACGGAAGGTGGTAAAGCCACACGCCAGGACTGTCCCGAGCATGGCTCCGGCACTTCAGGGGGACTCAGTGACATGGGTTTTCTCCCCGTGGAGAAGCAGCGCAAGCCTGCGCCCCCGCCCCCGTCCACACAGCAGGCCTCCTCAGGTGAGGCCCCAGCAACACCCTTCCTGCCCCTTTGCCCGTCTCCCCAGGGTCGGGGTGTCCTTTCCCTCGGGATCATTCCCCACAGTCCTGTCCTCTGTGGTCCTCTGGGGCTTGCAACAGACAGCAAGTGAGTAACTGCTGAATGACCAACCAACGGGAAAACCGGGGTCCAAGAAGCTGACGCCCGGAACGACTTCCGCCAGGAAGGCTTCCCTGACCTTCTACCCAGGCTGGGTTAGTGGCTCTTTGCATGAGCTTCCCTGAAGCCCAGAACTTTTTCTTTTTAAGTGTAGGTGCTGGGGTTCAAGTTTTGGCTCTGCCCTGACCAGCTGTGCGCCTCCGGGCAAGTGGAACAACCTCTCTGGGCCTCCATGGCCTCACCTGTGAAAGGAGGATAATAACAACAGCGTCTGCCCCGGAGAACTGTCGGGGTCAGGAGGCAGGCCGGCACTCAGGCGGCAGGCACGCTCCGAGCACTCACAGACGTGCGTGGCTCCTATCAGCGGCCAGTGTCACCAGCATCGTCTCGTCGGCCAGACGGTCCTCTGCCCTGCTCGTGAGCTTGTCCAGACCCGTCGTGAAGGCTGTCAGGCGCTCCCGCAGACCGCTTCGCGGCTTCCGAGAGCCTGCTCACCGACCTACCCCCGAGGACCTGCGCCCACTGCTCTCCCCCAGAGAATGGGCAGCTTCGTTCAGGTCTGCAGGGCGCGGAGCGGCCCAGGACTCAGCCTGCTGGGGGCTAACCCTTGGCCGGTGACTGACAAGTCACCAGCCAAGACCAACTCTAAGGTGTAACCTGGACCCCAGAGCCCCCGCCCCGCAACGGGGTCAGGTAGAGACGGCTCTCCGGGGGGCTTTGCCCGAAAACAAACATCGACATGGTGGGCCCCCAGCCATCCCCATCCTAGCCTGCCTTTCCCTTCCATACACCTAAATCCTCGCCGCGTCGTGTGGGATCCTAGTTACCTGAAGCTGCTGTCACTGCAGTCGTGTCCGGCTCTTTGTGACCCCGTGGACTTCAGCCCGCCAGGCTCCTCTGTCCATGGGATTTCCCAGGCAAGAATCCTGGAGTGGGTTGCCATTTCCTCCTCCAGGGGATCATCCCGACCCAGGGATTGAATTCTTTACCATTAGTAAAACCTGGGAAGCCCGGGGATCAAACCCAGGCCCCTAGATTGGAAGCATAGAGACCACCAGGGAAGTCCCTACGCCCATCTTAACACAGGGCCCAGACACAAGCTGCACGGTCGGAGCAGGGGAACGGTCGAACCGAGGGATGCCCAAGAGAAAGATTTAGCGAGTCAGCCAGGGGAAGAGTTCTAAGAGGGAGAAGACCCCCCCGACCCCAACTGCACACGGCCCCTCCCTCGGCCACGCTGAGCCATCTCAGCCATAAATGTTCAGTGGAGCATGCGGTCTTTAATGCACGGGCCTTGAGTTACATAAACAAGGTTGTAAAATTTAAAGGCAAATCAGACGGGATCCCAGGGGCAGCCACGCTGACATCACGGCTGGGGGCAGGGCTGGCGCTGAGCGGAGGAGGCAGCTTTCAGCAGTGTTCATTCTGGGATAGAAGGAAGGGGCAAAGTGGCCGTGACTGATGGTTGCTGCTGTTTATTTGTTTGTAATCATCGGGTCTGAAATGATCAGATGGGCACAGGTCCGCATTTAGACAGTACCACAATCAAGGTGAGGCTTCCCGGGTGGTGCTAGTGGTAAAGAACCCAACAGCCAATGTAGGAGACATAAGAGATCCGAGTTCGATCCCTGGGTCGGAAAGGTCCCCTGGAGGAGGGCACGGCAGCCCGCTCCAGTGTTCTTGCCCGGAGAATCCCGTGGACAGGGGAGCCTGGCGGGCTGCAGGCCACGGGGTCACAGAGAGTCAGCACGTGCACGCACGCTCCAGCAGCAGGCCCCAGGCTCTTCCCTTGCCTCCTGTCACCTGTTTGCAGATCAGCCTCATCTTCTGCAGCCTCGCCCAGGGGGACTCCTCACCCAGCTTCCTGTCTCCACACAGCGCTGGTTAAGCACGTGGGCTCCCGAGCCACAGTCCTGGGTTCAGCTCCCGCTCTGCCGCTTGCTAGCTGTGTGCCCTGGGGCCTCGTTTCTGGTCTGCGGGATGAAGTAGCGACAGCACCTAGCCATGGGGATTAACAACGTCGGGAAGGTCAAATGAGGCGGGGCCTGCACGGAGCAAGCCTCAACAGCACTAGATTACCGCTGCTTTCTCATTACCATTCCTTCCTTCCTGTGACCCAAGGCGGCTCTGCACGCACCACAGGCAGACCCAGTGGGCTGGGAGTAACGGGGGAGGCAAAGAGAAGCGGCTGGGGGTGCCTGCTCCAGAGTCTGGCTGAGACACGAAGAGAAGCAGACAGTCAACCGGGGACAGAGAAGCTGGGGTCAGGAGGGTGGGGCTGAGCAGGGGAGGAGGGTCCTGGGGGCTGGGGTTCAGGACAGGAAAGAGCGTGGAGCCCAGGGAGGCTGCCTCGCTCGGGACTCGCCACAGAGGGCATCCGAGGAGCAAGGAGACTGACTGCCCTGGGATGCTCAGACACGCCCGTCGGCAAGTACCACAATGTGCAAGATGAGAGGGACCGCAGAGGGGAGACCTCGGTCCATTCCAGCTGCAGCCAGTCAGCAGCTGTTTTATCAAACACTCTAAGCCTCAGCGGCACCGTCTGTAAAATGGGGCTACCAACCCTAGAACTCGCCTCTTAGGGTCATTGCAAGCATTGAGATGTTACACGAAGTCCGCGCTCACATAAAGGAATTACAGTGAAGAGTCTCTGATTGTAAGATTCAGTGAACCCCAGACTCCAGGTTTTATGATTCTAAATGGCTCATGAATTTAAGACTAAATTTTACTAGAATGTTGGCTCTGTGGGGACAGACATTTCTGGTCTACACTGTTCAGTAGTTTTATTTCCAGTACCTGGCTCCCAGGACTTGGCAAATAGGTGAGCAATGTGTGTGCGTGGCTGTGTGTGTGTTGGATAAATCAGTGAATGAACGCGTAAATGAATGAATGTGTTGGCAGGACTGACCATTCTCTGTCCACTTGCCCAAACCCGAAACAAAGATGCCATCCCTGAGTTTTCCTCCCCAACCCATCCATCCACCTCCTAAGGACGAGCACTTCCCTCAGCCACCTCACCTCCCCCCTCAGAGCGGAATCTCACTCACTCAGAACACTGCTGCGGCCTCCCTTGCCTGCCCTCCTTTCCCATCTTAGAAATCTCATTTCCAAACAGAAAAGAAGTTCATTAACCAAATTGGGGGCATTCTGCTGCAGGGCTGAGCCATTATGGGCACAAAAGATAGTCTCACCTCATCACTTACCAATTAGCTCCGAGGGACTCAGGCACTGCGGAACACAGCATATCCCCTTCCTGAGACGTCCCAGAGTCCCACCAGGAGTGGCGGCCACCACGCGGCTGGTCCCTCCCAGCCCCAGACCGTGGCGGAGTGGGAGCCCCACCGCAGTCAGGTCAGGCCCTGACACTGCGCCCCAACACCCCAGGGCTCTCTGAACATGAGGTCAGCTGCCCGCACATCACTAAGCAGCTAGCACAGGGCCCCGGGAAATGTCTTAACTAGGTGGTCACACTGGTTCACATACATTAATTTGATAAAGACAGTGAAGTTTGGCAGAGCAGAGCCGACCATGCTCCTGAGAGCCGCTGCCCTGAGCTCTAGGACCAGGATGGAGGTGCAGGTCAAAGGGCTTGTGGCCGACGCCTGCAGGGCGTGCTGTCCCCTTCTCAGTGGTCCCCCCCCACCGCCCTGCATTTCATCCTCAGGCTGAAGGAACTGGCGCAACAGCCTTGTCCTCGGGGCTGGGGAAACAAGCCCTGCTTCGCTCTGGGCCACTGGAGTCAAGTCGCCCGACGTCGGAGAGCCTCAGTCTTCTCCGCTGTAAAACAGACATGGCAACCCCACTTGCTAGCGCTGGTTAAATGAGATGCACATGAAGCATTTGACAAGTGCCTAGAGGACAGGCACATCCCTGATAGCTGCCTGCAATGCAGGAGACCCTGGTTCAATACCTGGGTCAGAGGATCCCCTGGAGATCCAACATCACAGTTCGGAAGCCACAATTCTTTGGTGTTCTGCCTTGTTTATTGTCCAGCTCTGGAGAAGGGAAAGGCTGCCCACTCTAGTATTCTTGGGCTTCTCTTGTGGCTCAGCTGGTAAAGAATCTGCTTGCAATGTGGGAGGCCTGGGTTCAACCCCTGGGTTGGGAAGATCCTCTGAAGCAGGAAAGGCTACCGCTCCAGTATTCTGGCCTGGAGGATTCCACGGACTGTGTAGTCCACGGGGCCATGAAGAGTCGGACACGACTGAGCGAATTACTTCCCCGGTGGCTCAGAGTGTAAAGCGTCTGCCTGCAGTGTGGGACACCCGGGTTTGATCCCTGGGCCGGGAAGATCCCCTGGAGGAGGAAATGGCAACCCACTCCAGTGTTCTTGCCTGGAAAAACCCATGAACAGAGGAGCCTGGCAGGCTACAGTCCATGGGGTCACAAAGAGCCAGACATGACTGAGCGACTCCACTTTCCTTTCCTTAGAGTATACAGTGGGCTGTTGGTACAGAGTGGCAGTTACTGTTATTACTGAAATAAAACAGTGAAGCCCCATCACTGACCCTGTGTGTCCATTTGGAAAATGGTCCTGTGGGATAAACAGTGGACTCCTGATTTTCAAGAGACTTCTCTCATTCCGGGCTTTCTGTTCCCTTTGGGATTCGAAGGGTTGAAGAATCTGGTCAACATCACACAGCTGGTCAGTGGTAGATGCAGGATTTGAACCCAGTTTTTCTGACCTCAAATCTAAGCTCTTCCCACCCCCCACCCCCCCAATGCTAAAGAGGGGTGGCCGTGTGGACATGTGACCTGCAGACAGATGGGCTATCCACAAACACACTCGCTGACCACGTGTCCTTCTAACCAATCGTCAGCTGCACAGGACACTCTGACAACCTTGTGCTCACACTGGCCACGTGCAGTGAGTGGAAAGCCTACTGGACTGGGGCTCAGGAGACCCAGGGTCCAGGCACAGCTCTGCTGGAACTTTCTGTGGCTCCATAGCTCCGTCACACCCCCTCTCTGTGCCCCTTCTCCATCTGTAAAGGGGAAGGAAGGTTTCTGACCCTGAACAATTTGTTTATGTTGTTCAGTTGCCAACTCAAGTCCGACTCTTCACGACCCCATGGACTACAGCACGCCAGGCCTCCCTGTCCATCACCATCTCCCAAAGTTCTCCCAAGTTCATGTCCATTGAATCGAAGATGCCATCCAACCATCTCATCATCTGTTACCCTCTTCTCCTTCTGCCCTCACCCCTTCCCAGCATCAGGGTCTTTTCTGATGACCTGGCTCTTTCCATCAGGTGGCCAAAGCACTGGAGCTTCAGCTTCAGCATCAGTCCTTCCAATAAATATTTAGGGTTGATTTTCTTTAAGATGGACTGGTTGGATCTCCTTGCGGTCCAAGGGACTCTCAAGAGTCTTCTCCAACACCACAGTTCAGAAGCAACAGTTCTTTGGTGCTCTGCCTTATTTATTGTCCAGCTCTCACATCCGCACATGACCACTGGAAAGACCATAGCTTTGACTAGACAGACTGAACAATGTTCCAGTCCAGTTCCTTCCAGGGGTGCTCCTCTGAACCACCTGCTCTTAGGTCTGAAGATGCCTGAAGCTTCTCCCCATGCATCCTGCATCCAACGCTGCGTCACCCACGGGGGCTGAGCACACTGGGACCACCTCCACTGCCTCCTCAGAGCAGCAAGAAGGACTAAAGGCAGACTTTAGGAGTGCCCCGATGTCACGGGACGCAGTTTTGTGGGGATGAAGGATCTGGGAAACGGAGGTTCTCTTTGGGATATAATATCCCCAAGCTAGGGTACGTGATAACTGTTGATCAGCAAAGAAGAATAACAATAACAGCGTGAGGTCTTTTTTTCCCCCTTGTTGTAAATGAGAGAGATGCATTGAGTGTCTAATTAGCAAAATATTAGATAACTGGTGCGATCTGGTCCTGTTCCTTTCTGACAACCTCTATTCTGCTGTCCCATTTCAAGCTTGAGCTGCCGGTAATATCAGCTGATAATTGTAATGGTGAAAATGAAAAATTAAATCAGAGTCATCGGAGGCTCCCATTAAATTGATTTAAGGCTGGAAAAATTAATGGGACTGCCTCACCTCCCCCCTCCTCCCCGCCTGGTCTCTGCCTTGCTCTTCCCCGGAGCAGAGCTGCCACATGACGACACGGGTGGGGGTCTGCCACTCGGCCTGCGACCCGCCCCCACCCTGCCAAATGGCCAGGGGCCACCTCGCCCACAGGCAGCGGTGAGAGCCCAGCACCAGAACAGAGCAGAGAGCCCAGCACCAGGGCCCTGGACAGAACGGGTTCACCTTGTCTTCCCTTCCCCGTGAGGATGGAGCCTCTAAGACAGAACAACATGGCCCAAGACATTTAAAGGCAAGAAATGGAGTCAGTGTGATGTGTCCCATCAGTTCAAGTGACAGAAACAACCTCAAACCAGTTTAAACGAGAAAGAACGTGTAATTTATGAAACTATAAGTCCAGGGAGAGAACTGGGCCAGCGATGTCGCCGCACCGCCTTTGCTGTCCTCTCGGACCGTGGCTATAACTGGTCCACTTCCAGTTGGCATGAGGAGGCAGGGGGGGATCAGGACCACAGACAGCTTCTGGGTTTACCTCATCCCAGCTCAGCACACAGAAGACATAGCTTTTCTCATCCAGCATCAACATATCAACCCCAGGAAGGGCCCTGATTGGTTCATCTAGGGTCACAGGCCATCTCCGAGCCAATCACTCTTGTCATGTGCTTTAATACTATCTTGACTAGGCCTGGGTCCCAACCCTTCCTGGAACTGAAGGAACAAGGTGTTAATAGGGTTGGTACCCCCCCCACACCCCAGGTGAGCAGGTGAAAGGGCATCCCCCAAGGATGCTTTTACTACCAGAAGGGGAGGAGGCATGTGGTTGCATACAACGAACTGCCCCAGCGTTCAGCATCTTAGAACAACATCTTCTGCGATGACCTGCCATGATTCTGTGGGCTGACTGGGCTCAGTTCAGCGGGTCTTCTGCTCAACACGACAACATCTGGAGCTGTTGTCATCTGGAGGCCTGACCCGGCAACAGGGTCCAAGACAGCCCACCTGTGTGCGTGGCGTCCATCAGCAGGACTCTCTCTCGGGTCCTCTCTGACTCTGTGGGTCTTCCCAGTCGTCTCTCCAGCAGGGTAGCTGGATTTTCCACATGGGAGCTCAGGGCTCCCAAAAGCATGAAAGAAGAAGCTATCAGGCCCAGAACCAGCATAGTGTCACATCCATCATACTCCACCGCCGAGTAGAAAAACAGACACAGATTTCAGAGAAAGGTAAAGAAGTATCTCAATGAGAGAAATGACAGAGAATATTCAGCATCTTAACCCACCTCTGGAGGGGAACCCAGGGGAACCCATCCCCAGAGGGCAACCTATCTCCGGAGGGTAACCATCGCTGGAGGGTAACCCGTCCCCAGAGGGTAACCCGTCTCTGGAGGGTAACCCGTCCCCGGAGGGTAACCCGTCCCCGGAGGGTAACCCATCCCCGGAGGGTAACCTGTCTCTGGAGGGTAACCCGTCCCTGGAGGGTAACCCGTCCCCGGAGGGTAACCCGTCCCCGGAGGGTAACCCATCCCCGGAGGGTAACCTGTCTCTGGAGGGTAACCCGTCCCTGGAGGGTAACCCGTCTCTGGAGGGTAACCCGTCTCTGGAGGGTAACCCATCCCCGGAGGGTAACCCGTCTCTGGAGGGTAACCCATCCCCGGAGGGTAACCCATCCCCGGAGGGTAACCTGTCTCTGGAGGGTAACCCGTCTCTGGAGGGTAACCCGCCCCCAGAGGGTAACCTGTCTCTGGAGGGTAACCCATCCCCGGAGGGTAACCCATCCCCGGAGGGTAACCCATCCCCGGAGGGTAACCTGTCTCTGGAGGGTAACCCGTCTCTGGAGGGTAACCCGCCCCCAGAGGGTAACCTGTCTCTGGAGGGTAACCCATCCCCGGAGGGTAACCCATCCCCGGAGGGTAACCCATCCCCGGAGGGTAACCTGTCTCTGGAGGGTAACCCATCCCCGGAGGGTAACCCATCCCCAGAGGGTAACCTGTCTCTGGAGGGTAACCCGTCTCTGGAGGGTAACCCGCCCCCAGAGGGTAACCTGTCTCTGGAGGGTAACCCATCCCCGGAGGGTAACCCATCCCCGGAGGGTAACCTGTCTCTGGAGGGTAACCCGTCTCTGGAGGGTAACCCGCCCCCAGAGGGTAACCTGTCTCTGGAGGGTAACCCATCCCCGGGGGGTAACCCATCCCCGGAGGGTAACCCATCCCCGGAGGGTAACCTGTCTCTGGAGGGTAACCCGTCTCTGGAGGGTAACCCATCCCCGGAGGGTAACCCATCCCCGGAGGGTAACCTGTCTCTGGAGGGTAACCCGTCTCTGGAGGGTAACCCATCCCCGGAGGGTAACCCGCCCCCAGAGGGTAACCTGTCTCTGGAGGGTAACCCGCTCCCAGAGGGTAACCCGTCTCTGGAGGGTAACCCGTCTCTGGAGGGTAACCCATTTCTGGAAGGTAACCCGTTTCTGGAGGGTAACCCGTCTCTGGAGGGTAACCCATCCCCGGAGGGTAACCTGTCTCTGGAGGGTAACCCGTCTCTGGAGGGTAACCCGTCCCTGGAGGGTAACCCATCCCCGGAGGGTAACCTGTCTCTGGAGGGTAAGCTGTCTCCGGAGGGTAACCCATCTCTGGAGGGTAACCCGTCTCTGGAGGGTAACCCGTCTCTGGAGGGTAACCCGTCCCTGGAGGGCTGGGCTAACAGTGGCGGCAGGTATGCCCCCATTCCCAGTCAGCTGTGAAATAACTCCAGAAGCACTCACGGAGGCCCTGCTTGGTGCCAGGTCTGATGCCAGGGTCTGAGCCTGGCATTCCTTCCCTCAAGGGAGCTATCTGACCACTCCCTCCCCGTGGGGGATGGAGGCTGTCGTGCCCTTGTTGCCATGGAAACCAAGAGTGCTGAAGGCACAGGTGCTCCTACAGTTCTTTCCCCACAAAGCAGTCCAGTGAAACACGGAGAATGGAGAGGAGAGGGCCTCGCCCCAGGAAAGAGAGGTTTGGGGGCTCCGGGGGGCTCTGAGTCGCCAATGGTCAGGTTTCTCATTTTCCCTCATCAGAAAAGGGAGGTTCTGGACCCAAACTGGCCTGTGCTAGAGTCCAGGGTCTCCAAAGACCTGCAGCCTTGAACAGTCCCTTCGGCTCTCTGCACTCAGTCTCCTCACCTCTACAACGGGGTTGATAATAACCTCCCCCATTCAGCCGCAGTGAGAGCAGGGAGTCCTGTCGAGAAGCTAAGACAGTGCGTGGCAGAGAGTAGGTGCTCAGTAACGAAGCCCTATTAGAGGGGTCACAGCCTGTTCCAAGGTCTGTGCTGCGCCCCAAGGACACCTGCCCTGTGGTTTCACCTCAGTCGAGTCAGCTTCTGTGCCCAGATGCTCAAAGCCCTCCTCCCCACTTCAGTCCTGAGCATCCTTGCAAAGAGCTGGTCCCAGGGCTCTTCCTTGATCTGATAGAGCCCAGGGGAGCCCTGGCCCCTCTGAGCTCCTCCATCCCTGTCTGTGGCATTCAGGTCAACTCAGAGAGGTTGAACTCGACATACTTATTTCATTTCACGCACATTGAGTCTGGGCCTCTTGAACCTCATATCCAGAGAATATGCAAATGGATGCAAATGAGTCCCTGATTTATGCAAAGTAGCATGCAATTGTGTGTCCCTGGATTTGCCAAAGAAAAAGGCCTGGTCACCTAATTTAGCAGAAATAACAGGGG